TCCTGAAGGGCAAAGGCATCYAGGAAGGCTGGGTGTGCYTCAAAAAGGAATTGTGAAAYATTCCRGAGCMGGCTGTCCCCATGTGGTAGAAAGACAAGTTGTCAGGGAAAACACCAGCCTGGTTAAACAGAGAACTGAGGCTGGAAGTTAGGGGAAARAAGACAATCTATCCTCCCCAGAAGGTCAGATAACTTGGGATGACTATAAAGATGTTGTAAGGTCATGTAGAGAGAAGATTAGAAGGACCAAAGACCAATTAGAACTTGATTTGGCTTCTAAAGTTAAAGACAACAAAAAAGTTTCTATAAATACAGCAAAAGAAAGGTCAAGGAGAGTCTCCATTAGCTGTTGAAGGCAGAGGGTAGTGTAGTGGCAGGGAATGAGGCAAAGGCAGAGGTACTTAATACCTTCTTTGTCTCAGTCTTTAATATTGTCCAATTGTCCTCAGGATACTCAGCTCCCAGAGCTGAAAATGAGGGACAGAGAGCTGAGGGAAGGGCCCATAATCCAGGAGGGGATGGTTRGTGACCTGCTGTGCCAATTAGACACTGACAAGTCTATGAGCCCTAATGGGATCCATGTCAGAAGGAAGTGTTGAAAGAACTTGCCAAACCACTTTCAATCACCTACCAGCAGCCCTGGTTAACTGGAAAAGTTTCGTCTGCCTGGGAATTGCCAAATRTAACACCCACCTACAAGAAGGATCAGAAGGATTATCTGGGCAATTTCAGGCTTGTCAGCCTAACCTTGGTTACAGGCAAGGTTATGGAAGAAATCATCCTGACTGCCATGGCACATGCMGGACAACCAGGGAATCAAACCCAGGAAACATGGATTTATGAAAGCAAGGTCCTGCTTGACCAACCTGATCCCCTTGTATGACAAAGTGGCCCACTTAGCAGATATGGGGAAGCCTGTGGATGTGTGTATCTAAGATCTATTCAGACTTCAGTAAAATGTTTGACACCATCTGCCACAGCATGCTCTTAAAAAAAATTGGTGGGTGGRCTCTCCAATGGGTAAAAATCTGTCTGGATGGYTGGGTCCASAGAGCTGTGGYGCATRGAGATAAATCCAGTTGGCAGCTGGTCACTAATGGTGTTTGCCAGGGCTCAGCTTTGGGGCCAGTCCTGTTTAACACCTTAGCTGATGATCAGACAAGGGGATTGAATGCACCCTCAGTAATTGTAAAGAAGACACTAAACTGGCTGGAAGTGTTGATGTGCTCAAGGAATGGAAAGCTCTGCTGGAGACCTAGAGAGACTTGATCACGGGCTGAGGACACCCCTGCAGGAGGCTCAGTAAGGTGAAGGGTCAAGTCCTGCACTGGGTCACAACAACCCCATGCAATGACACAGGTTGGGAGAGGAGCAGCTTGAGAGCTGATCAGCAGAAAGGGACACCGGGGGGTGCTGGCTGACAGCAGCTGAACAYGAGCCARCAGGGTGCCCATGGGGCCAAGAAGGCCAAAGGCACCCAGGTCTGTACTGGCCCACAGGAGCAGGGAAGTGGCTGCTCCCCTGTACTCGATGAGGCCACTCCTTGAACGCTGCATTCAGGTTTGGGACCCTTGCTTTAAAAAGGACATTGAGATGCTGCAGCAYGTYCAGAGRAGGGAAACAAGGCTCATGAAGGGTCTAGAAAACATGTCTTAAGARGAATKGCTGAGGGAGCTGGGTTTGTTCAATCTGGAGAAGAGCAGGCTCAGGGGTGCCTCATGGCTCTCTACAACTCCCTGAAAGGAGGCTGCAGTGAGGAGGGGTCGGTCTCTTCTGCCAYGCCTSCAGTAAGAGGAACAGAGGAAATGGCCTCAAGCTGAGACAGGGGAAATTCAGGTGAGATATAAGAAAAAATCTTTCCAATGTTAGWGTGGTCAGGCRYTGCARGAGGTTCCTCAGGGAGGTGGTGGAGTCAMCATTCTGAAGGTGTTTAAGAGGCTTTTGGATCTGGYACTGCATRATGTGGTTTAGGGGTTACAGTGGGAACACTGGGTGGATGGTTGGACCAGATGATCTYAAAGGTCTCTTCCATCCCCAATGATTCTGTGATTCTGTTTCTATACAGTCAATACCAGAATCATAAAAGGATGAAAAGCTACTCAGGAAGGGTTTACTTGACAACACTGCAACAAATCACAGAATAACTACATTCTAAGAAGGAGAAGGGAAAAGGATACCTTTATTGCTAAGCAAAAGTCTGCATTGGTGAGGGAGAGAAAACAGGAGAATCTTTCATTAGTAGATGAGTCACATGACTATTCTTTCATACAAACATTGCTCACGATTCAGTCAGAGCTAATAACGTGTACTTTCTCACRGAGAAGATGCAATTAAAATTTTAAAATGAAGCAAACTGATTTCAAGATCACTTACCAATAAGCCACCATGAAAGGACTCACAAAATGACCTCCTGCTGAAGCCACTGTGACAATGTGTCCATAGTTGTTGTTCATCATGACTGGCAGAAAAGCTCTCGCGGTCTTGGAAGTCATTTAAACCAAGAGGCAAAAATGCAGGGGGCAGGAAGGACAAAAAGAACATTGTTTTCTTAGGCATATTCAGCACTGACCCTGAATGCCATTCACTAGGTGACCAAAGCTATCCCTAAAGCTGCGTGCTGCACAGCACCTCAGATTGCCAGAGCCACAGGGATACCTGTTCTCTGACCAGTGGTGCAGTTGGCAACCTGCTCTCCAAAGGTTTCAGGCATTGGCTGCAAACAGGAGCTGATTTTCATGTCTTTCCTTTGCTGATTTTAAAGGTTTCAGGTGTCAGCAGAAATGCTGACAGGAAGCATATCCCCCGCATGTACAATAAACCATTTTTCAACCTATGGCTTCCCTTTCCTTCTGCCACAAGCAAGCACGGCTGAAGAGCTGAAACCCTCCCACCCTGTCAGCCCCACAACAACTCTGATACACACCAGCCTGTGCTGCAGATGAGGCTGTCACTATGCAGCTCAGATCAGCAAGAGGCTATTCCAGTTTCCCAGCAGGCAGTCTACTTGGGTGCCCCTGTGCTATGCAGCTTATTTGGTAATTCACTGGTAATTCACTAAATATGCCTCCTCAGCAATGATCCCAGAAAACTGCAGCAATGGAGATGGTGGTGGCCCTTACCCACATGTGACCAAGAATGTTGACTTCAAACATCCTTTCTATCTGCTGGTCCTGAGTCGAGAGAAAGTCAGCAGCTGTAATCACACCAGCATTGTTCACCAGGATGGTCACRTCCCCAATATCCTTTTTCACCTTTTGGAGAAAAAAGAAAGGTCAAAAGTGTGTCTGTTGTTCAGGGGGAAAAAAATATGCAAGCCTGGGGAAGATAAGCCGTAATTAATCTAATTCTTAACAGTGGATATCTAATGGTGACCGAGATCATGCCAAGTTTCCAGATGTGGCAGGAACTGTGTATTAGTGCCATGAAATCTGTTAAGGATCTGATTCTCGTTTAATCACTCCCAGTATTTATTATGTTCCACACATTGTGCTCAGTTTGATCCATGTAGTCACAGTTGGGATCATGGAAGTACAGACTGTTTCGAGCCAGCTGGACCACAGCCATTACAATAAAATGTTTCAGATGTCCCCAGTGCTGTCTATGTTCCTTCAGAGACTGGAACCCTAGAGAGCAAACCTGGCAACAGGGTGGGATATGCTGGAGCCTCCCAAACAGGATGATACTGGCTGGAATCTTGGAAATGCTACAGTACTCTGTGTACCAAGAGCAGCAAGGAGTGGGGAGCTTCCAAGAGCTTGCAGGATCTGTGTACAACACCTCTTCTCTAGTTTACCGACTTTTCTAACAATCAAGTGTGCTTGGGAAAGCTCTTGGCCATGCCCCTGCTGTCCCACCTTGTCTGCAGTGCTGTAGATCTCCTCYCGTTTGCTGCAGTCCACCACAAAGGTTTGAACAGTGGCTCCCAGCTTCTGGCAYTCTGCTGCCGTCTCCTCAACGCCGTGCTGGAAGAGGCAAAGAGAAACACACCCATGCACAGCTGTCCCCTGGCCATGGCAGAGCAGCCAGAGGAGGAAAGTGTCCCAGGATTGAGCAACCACTGCCAGTCCCAGAACAGTTCATGTCAACCAAAGGAAAGAGCTSTAGSTGGGATCCTCTCTAGCTAAGAGSAAGRTATACTGGCCTTAAATTTTGGACCTGTATGTAGTGACAGCCAGAAAGGCAGGGTGACAAGAGTGAGTTTGGCTTGGTAAGGCACACTGAGCAAGGCTGCAGAAAGGGGGCACACGGTKCCTATCACAGCACAGCARGCAGCACTKTGTGAGCAGARCKCGTACAACACTGGCCTGGCTGACACCCTGAGGTATGAAAGRTGGCTCTATGTGCTTCTSTATTCACAGGCTGGGTGTGAGGAGAGAGGTGCCCTCCACAATGCACAGGGAGACTTTTCTTTCAGAATGAACTTTGAAAYACAACAGATCAGAAGCTCCCCAAAGTCATTACATCAGCTCACTAAACCAAAACAAAAGTGACTTTGTTGTAGCYCTGTCCCCAGGTGCCAGAAGGCCATATCAGTGGGAACCTGTGCAGTGAAAAGTCCCAGGTCACAAATAGCATGGGAAGCTGCCCTCTGTACCAGCTGCTATTTGATGCTGAGAGCCCCCAAGAAGGAGGCCTTGTCAAGGTGGTTGGACGGGAGCATGCTCCTAAATCCTTTGGAATCCACCACCTCCCTCGGCACTGTATTTCACTTGACTTGCTCACACCCACACTTACAATCTACTTCCCAGCACCAAAGCCAGGTGTCGCTCGCTACTTAGCATATACCTTCATCCCCCCATCCTATCCAGTGAACATGAACAATGCTCTGCTTCACTACAGCCCTCCACACATCGGGAGAGCAGTGCCATGCCTCCTCCCACCCTSCAGTGTCTGTTCTTAGCCATAATGGGTACCACGAACAGACACTGAAAATGTTCAACAGTATCTTCCCTCTTTATCCATCCTCGCGCTCAACTTCTCTTGGGGTGTATTTTTGTTTGTTTGTGATGGGCTGGGTTCTGTTTTGCAGCTTCATGAACTCCTCTGCTGACCCACTGTGTCAGAAACAGGAAGCACAGCCTCTCACCCTCCCTGTTGCACCTACACCCAGCACTTGGCCTTGATCCCTTTTGAATGCCATGCTGGTGTTTGTATCTGCCCGTCCTCTACTTCGCACAGTTTTTTTGCATTCCAGTCAAATCAACTGAAATAAAAAGCTTGAGCCAGTGTAAACATTTAGAGAGGAGCCATCTATGCGTGCAGCTGCCCAGAAGGCAGCCGGGCTYGCACACAGCCCAGCACAATGATGCTGCTGATGGGAGAACAGAGAAAACACATCTTCCAGCAAAGCACACAAAATACCTGAGGCTACA